TATACTGAAGCCATAGGTAAGACTGCTGATGACTTTTCCCTCTAAGCAGCCTACATAGATTCTCTGGAACTATGAATGCTAGCTAGCAGGCGGGAGCTTTCTGGTCAGTACCACCTTGATTTCTCCATGTCCTATGACCAAAGTGTGTGATATCTTCATCAATATGATGCACAAAAAGAGCAGTAAATAGCCTGCATTGTTTTGGTTGTCTCATATACTCCTGACCAACTGGCAGTGGATTTTTCATTTGGTAACCTATGGCTTTTGGAGCAACATTTCCCCCTGTGTAGGTGAATCCAATTAAACACATACACACACACACACACACACACACACACACACACACGGTTCATGACTCAAAGGAAAATAAAGGATATTTAAAATAGGACTGGGGGGCTGGAGAGATGGCTCAGCATTTTAGAATATTGACCCTCTTCCAGAGGTCCTCAGTTCAATTCCCAGCAACCACATTGTGGCTCACAACCATCTATAATGAGATCTGGTGTCCTCTTCTGGCCTGCAGGTGCACATGCTGGCAGAACACTGTATACATAATAGATATATCTTAAAAACAAAAAAGTGACTGAATAATGGCTGTACTGCATATTGAATTAGTGATATCAAGCTAAGATGATATAACAAGGAAATTAACAGTCTTAAGTCTTATGTAATAATGGATGCTGGGGAATTGGCTTAGTGGGTAAGAGCTCTCACTGAGCAAACGTGAGGACCTGAGTCAGGAACCTCAGAATTCACATAAAACTACAGGCACTTGTAATCTCATGCTGGGAATGAAGGAGTGGCAGAAATAGGATCACTAGGGCCTCCTGGCCAACTAGTTTAGCTGGGACAGGGGATAAAAATGATAAGCTCCAGGTTCATTAAGAGTCCTATCTCAGGAAACCAGGTGGGAAGTGATGGAGAACACATGACATCCTCCTCTGGCCTCCACATGCATGTGTACAGGATGTGCACACTTGTGACATACATGTGTACATGTACATGCCACTCAACACATACCACACACACACACACACACACACACACACACACACACACACACACACTCACACTGACACATACACTCATGGGAGGGAGGAGGAAATCGGGGGAAGTGCTTAACATTAGTGGGATAAATTTCTAATTTAGAAAAAGCAAGCAGAATAATCCCAAAGAAGACACAAGGAAGGGAAAAATTTAAAAATAAGACCAAAAATTTAGTGAGCAAAACCCAAAAGTGAACTTGTCTGATGAGCGGTCCCAAAACTGGATCTCTGATTTGCTGGTTTAATTGGGCATGCTTCTGATAAGATCAAGCAAGGAAACATCAAAGATAAATATTTGAGAAAGCATAGTCATAGATACCATTGGTAGAAGAGATTAGTAGGTTTTATGAATTTTTCATTCAAATTAATATGAAAATTTAGTTTCAATCTAGAATTCTTAGTAGGGAAAATATCAGCTTTATATGTTTTTGCTCATGTTTTCTAATGATCATCAAAAACAAAAACCGAACTTTACAGAAAAAAATCTCCGAGCACATTAAAAGAAGCTCCCATAGATAAGTGTGTACTAAAACCCAAGAACAGCAGCACAGACAGAACAGAAAAGAGTACTCCTATCCAAAAACATAGATGAAAGAATATCTGCAAGCTGAATCCATTAATTTTGAAAGATATTACATGTCACAAAGTTTTCATAGAAATACGAGAAACAGAAAATGTTGAAATTCCATTGATGTGACTCATTACAACATATTAAAGGAAGAAAAGCATGGCATGGAGGTAGAATGTTGGATAATATTAAACATTCTTTAATGGTTTAAAGAAACTCTTGAAATGATTGTTATAAAAGAGAACTTTGTCAAACCTAAAAGTGCATCTCCAAAGATCTAATTACTATATTTGTTAGTAAATAACATTATTTTTCTACATGTGAAAACCAGATGTCAAATTAAATGATGAAACATTGAAGAATTTCCCCTTGAGGCTCAGAAGAAGACAGGACCTTCTTCCTGAGTGACCTTTTCATGTGGCTTGTGTGGACTTCCGCATAGTGGAGTTTTCACAGGATTGTTGACTTTATACCATGTTAGCTGGATTCCAACAGGGGGCATAGACAGCCAGTTAGGATTGTTCCAAGGTGGCTGAACTCATACCATGCTGCTGGCTTTTAGCATGGGGACAGAGGCTGTGAGTTGTCTTCTATGTTAGGGTAGGAAGAGGTCCTGATACTTTGCCACATTCAGAATCATTGTTCAGTGCAAGGTCAGGAGCAAGAAAACAGACCAAATTTCTGGTTTGGAAGAGTGGCAGTTGTGAAGAAAAGAGAAGGAACTGGTAGTGCAAGTTGTCTCTGAAGATCATCTTCAGCTTTTATATTAGTGGACAAAAGTGTAGTGGGCTGGTGACATAAGACACTGGAAAAGCTGTGGAATAATGGCATTTTGAGAAGCGGCTTGTGGTCATGCAAGTTAGTAATTGGACACTTTAAGCAGGGTATAATGGGCCACCCACATAGGTACATGAAAGACAATGCTGAGGGCAGTTTGAACAGTGGGAGCCCAATTCAGGGGAAGAATGTTAGTAACTGGCCTAGAGACTGTTGTGATATTTTAGGGAAGAATGTGGCTGCTTTCTGTCCTTCTCCAAAAAATCCGCCTGAGGCTAAATTGAAGAATTTTGGATTAATGGTGTTGGAAAAGGAAATTTCAAGACAGCCTGGTATTGAGTCTGTTGCATGGTTATTAGTGGTCACTGTTGTGAAGTTCTGTAATGAAAAGGAGCTCCAGGAAGTGTAATGGAGCTAAGTCCATCACTCAAGTTAATAAAAAGTTTAAAGATACTAAGTAGAATAAAGGGAGTGGTGATGTCAGAACAAGACCCTACCCAACTAAGCTTCCAACTTGTGAAAAGGAATTAAAGAAAAGTTTAAGCAGTGAAGAAAACTGTCAACAACAGAAAGCTGATGCCGACGTAATTGAATAAAGGATCCATGTTTCAGCCCCAGCAAGCAGAACTAGGCAGCCATGTGGTTTTGACTTTAGAATGAAGGATACAAGAAAGGGGTTGTGGAATCTTCCTTCTCAGCTAAGGAAAGCTGTGGAGGCCAGGCCTGTGTCAGAGGTTTCCTTAAATGTGGGCTCAGAGAGGACATTGTGTGAAACTGTGAAGGAGATGCCAGAGTGACAGGATACCTGCTGAGGAGAGCTGCTAACAGGGAGTGGAACCAGCCCAAGAGAAAGAAATGTGTTACAGTCAACAAAGCTGAAAGGAATTGGAGATCTGAAGAGCACTTTGACATTAGACATGGAGATGCAGAGTTTTGAGTTTGCCCTGCTGGTTTTGGTCTTGCTTTAGTACAGTATTTCTTTGCTATGCTCCTTTCCCTCTCTTTTGGAATGGTAATGTGTATTAGGTGCCATTGTATGTTGGATGTGTTTTATTAGGTTTTTTGGTTTTCATTTTCCAGAGGGTTACAATTAAAGAGACTGCTATGAGTCTCAGAAAGACTTTAAACTGACTTTTAAATAGTGTTGAGACTGTGATACACTATGTGGACTTTTGAAGTTGGACTAAATGCATTTATATTATATACATTACATTATTATATACATACATTATGGCTATACTTGTGGGGGACAGGGAGTAGAATGTGGTAGTTTGAATAAGAATGGTCCCCATAGGTCAATATATTTGAATGCTTAGCTATCAGTGAGTGGCACTACTTGAGAAGGATTAGGAGGTGTGGCCTTGCTGGAATAGATGTAGCCTTGTTGGAGGATGTGTGTCACTGGGAGTGGGCTTTCAGGCTTCAAAGGCCAAAGCTAGTCCCAGTTTCACTCTCTTCCTGCTGCCTGTACCTCCAAATGTAGAACTCTCATTAAGTTCCTTCTCCAGCTCTATGTCTGCCTGCATGCCACCATGCTCCCTGCCATGAGGACAATGAACCTCTGAAACTATAAGCACTTGCTTACAGAATACTTTCCTTTATAAGAGCTACCCTGGTCATGGTGTCTCTTTACAGCAGCAGCAACTAAGATGGCTGTACATGCTACATGGTCCAGCAACTTCACATCTAGATGGAAGCTTGAGGAGATGATGGTTATATGGGCATGTTTTATATATTTTCAGGTTAGCACTGATGTAAAGATTAAAAACTCAGGACAAACACCAGGTCAATAGCAGAGCTGATAAGTTAGTCGAGGTGAACTCTTGCAGTAGAACGCTCTTCTTAAGTAAAGAAATGATTGAATTCTGTGTATGTGGGTTTACATGGACATTTAATCTCTAGGGCATAAACACTTAAGGCATATACAACACAAAGTTTTAAACTATGAAAAACTAAATAATATATTCTGTGTGGATGCCAAAGTTAATGATAGCACTAAAAATGATTTCAAAATTCAGTAACAGTTGTAAAGGGATAGAAGGAGATAGATGTGTGATGGTATTGATAAGATTGATTCTAATTATATTATTTTTATTTTGGGTGACTTGAATGATGAGTGTTTCTTACATTGCTTTTTCTTATACCTTGTGTATATTTTAGGTTCTTTTGTCTTCTTTATGTTTAATAGAAATAAAATAAAAGCCTTAATGCCTTAAATTATTTTCCTTTTGAAGATTGTCTTCAAATGGTATCCTTGAGTCATTGTCTCTACTGTGAACTTGTATCTTCCGTTAAATAACTGTGTTCCCCTGTACCCTGCCATGGTCTGCATGTTGACAGTAGACTTCAGGGTTTCAGAGACAAGTAGGTTTTGGCAGTGCTTTCATGGCATTAGAGACCCAGGGTCTCAGCGAGGTGGAAGGTACCTGTCTACTTACGTGTCTCTGTAGGGCCTCTTCCAAACCAGGGCCATCTCTTTTAAAAGATTCATGGAATTTACTGCTGGATCAATAATCTCCGGCTATTGAAAACAGAGAGATATGAGTAGTTGTCAAGTGTAATTTGTTTGAACAGATTTTCTCAGATTTTGCAATTGTCTTGTTTTCCAGATTGACCAGTTGAAGCAGGAACTTTCCAAGAAGGAGTCAGAACTTCTTGCCTTACAAACAAAGCTTGAAACCCTTAGCAATCAAAATTCAGATTGCAAGCAACACATTGAAGTGCTTAAAGAGTCGCTTACTGCCAAAGAACAGAGGGCTGCCATCCTTCAGACAGAGGTAAGGTGCTGTCTAGGGCTCTGGAGAGCAGGGACACTTCACCATATAAAGTGTTCTTCCTGAGGGGCATTCTGTAGAGAACCCCTTCCCAAAACTGTAGTGGCCAGATGTGGTTTTAGGATTCACAGAGTTTCACATTTTTTTCTCAAACATGGTACCTGTTGCTGCATGTATCATAGCTTTATGACCCCCCACCTGGCCTAAGTTTGCAGCAATGCCCCAAACCAAACATGTGACTCTGCAGGGAAGATGATCTCACACTGAAGCGGGTAAATAAGGGTGAAGACTGGGTGCATTGTCTCCTGTTGATTTGTGTCTTGTTAAACACCCAAGGAGTTTGTCTCACACTAAGAAGTTTTCTATCCTATTTTCCATTGTTTAGAGAAAGCTATTTATTTATTTATTTATTTATTTATTTATTTATTTATTTATTTATTTATTTATTTATGGAGTTGAGAATTATAAGGAATTGGCTTTGGAATGATTATATTTCATTAAAATCATAAAATGGTTACACTAGCCCATCCATGCCTTATATGACATCATTTATAAAGGTCATTTCTTACTAATTTTTCCAATGAAGAAAGGTAGCATTGTATGTTTCCTAAAGGAAATATTGCTCAGTTATTTCTGTTTCATACTTAGAGTAACAATCAAAACATCCTCTTCCCACAAAAAAAAAACCTACTCCATGTGTTATTATCCTCTTTTCTTATTTCTTCTGGTTGGATTACACTCTTCTGTGTTATAAGAAATGCAGCACACACACACACACACACACACACACACACACACACACACACACACTATGTGTGAGTATGTGTAACTAAAACAGCTGTCAAAAGCAATAGGCAATATAGCAAAGAGGGTGGTAAACCAGGCTGATTTGTGTGTTGAGGCAGTGCCTTGTGGGTTACTCTAGGAGAAGGCAACATAATTGGCATGTGTATTCTCCGGGGCTCTTTGCATCCTATCCTTGTATATATAGACTTGAAGGTGGGTAAGGAGGAGGTATATTTACCTTAGGAGTCACTTGGGTTGTTGAGTAGGTCTGTGCCCTCAGTCAGTTCCATGGGCATTTTTTTTAAACTCACGGATTTATGGTATAAATTGGAAGATGGCTTTCATCTCATTTGACAGGGCATCAGTGTAGCCATGTCTAGAACTCTGCCGTTCAGTACTGAGCCATTAGCCACGTGAGGCTATTTAAATTTACTAGTTTAGCTAGATTTAAGATGTAGCTCTTTAGTCACTGTAACTATGTTTATACATTTTAGTAATGCCATGTGGCTAATGCCTACACCATTAGACATTTCTGCCCTCTAGCAGTTGTCAGTCTAGAACAGGATTAATGTGATCCAAATATAGCCTTTTACTTTACTTTATAAAAATCTTTACTTTATAAAATATCATTAGAACCCACCACATCTATTATTCTCTGTGTCCGCTCTTTTGCTTTAATGGCAGAGTTGTGCAGCTTGCATGGCCCACAGAGCTGTCTTGTCTTTCATGGAAAATAACTTCTGACACTCGAAGTGTGATCTTTGTGAAACAGGTCACCTGAGCAGGCATTGGACTGTCCAGTCAGGGTGCCTTCTTGCTTCTGTATTGTGCACAGGCCAGGTAGTTTGCTGACTCCTGTTCAAAAGCACAACTATTGCTTTACAAAGCACCTTTCCATATCTGTAGTTTGTCTTAAGGTTATTGTAAGTATGATACTGTGAGTTGGGTGGGAGGAATTGGGACAAGCAAGACAGCCTACTTGCCCAAACAGGTACCCAGGTTCCCTGCAGTTCTCCAGAAGGCAAGAGCGAAAAAGCCAGTTGAGAAAGACCTCCTCTTTTGCTGTCTTATACTGAGACCTATGGCAGTCTGCCTATCCATCCTTCTGTTTTACTTCTTTCAAATTAACAGGGTTTAAATTAGACCCATATATATTTCATGAAAAAGATAGAGGTGACATTATGTGGACAGCTTCTGTCCCATGTTCAATAATTAAAGGACCCAGTGGAGCGATCGAGCTTTGAAGTAGAAATGAAGTCACTCTCCCCATGAGGACAATGGGATGGCATTTCTACACTCCTGCTTTGAAGTTGAGAGTGTCGCATTAATAAGTCTATCTGCTGAAACATCCAAGGAATCTTCTTTTTCCCTTTTCCTTCTATTAAGATTGCTATGTATAGAAATAGAGGGACAAGTTACCTAATGATGTCCATCTCTTGAAGAAAGCAATTTAGTTGAAATTAGCTCCAACTGTTGCAGCAGGGTAGAATTCATTGAAGTGTTATCTCCTCTCTTTAGCTCAACAGGAAAACCACAGTCTCCCTATCTCACAAGTGGTTGCTTAGTGGGCAAGTGGTTATTGGATGAGATATGTTCCATCTCATTATGCCCTGTGTTGAAAGATGAGAGTTAAAACACATCTGAGGGATGTGGAGTTCATTCTCAGAAGAGGTAACATGGGACAGTTGCTTGTGGTTTGATTTCTAACTCATTCCAAATAACTTGCCAGAACCGAAGAGAATGGGAAGAGTCTTGCTGGCTTCTCTGAAATATCTGTGGTGCCAGCTGGCTTTAGCCATATGTCTGTAATCCAGTATAAATGATGGCTGCCACTGGTTATTCCTCTGGAACACAGGGTATGACAGCTGACCTGGCAGAATAGTTCCTCTCTGTAAGGAAAGGTTCTGCAAGCAGGACCTTTGTGTTTGGGAGGTGGTAGGATGAAGGGTGTGGTGAGAGGTGGGAGGCAAGCTGTCTGGGTTTGTGGCTATGTGGCTTGGCTCTTTGGTTGGTTTGTTTTAACTTGTACAAATACCCAGGCACTCTTTGACATGTGTGCAATAAATCAGTGGAATAATAATTATACATGTACAGAGATACACCACATGAGTCTTAACATAACATTTTACTTTTTAAAATAGCTTCAAAGGACCCCACAGCCACGTCTTAGTTTGTATTTCCCTTAATGTTTCCTACACAGCATCTACCCTGTCCGCAATGCATGCCCTGCTTAGCAGATGGGATACTAATAAATCGACTTGTGTTTTCTTGTTTCTTTTTTAAATAATTATCAAGATATCAAGAAAATAGGAAAGAGAAAGTCCTAGCATTTATTTCATTTTTAATTAAAACATTTTTAAATGAAGGAATATAGTGTTTAGAAGTAGGAAGTATGTGGACTTTGGGAGCCCAGTCCATATAGAGGAATATTCCCTGAGGTGGTCGTAGGCCCTACCCCAAAGGAAATGAAAGACTCTGATGACACCCTATGGAAGGCCTCACCATCCAGGGGGAGCAGAAAAGATATGTGACAGATAAGGTTTTAGTTGGGGCGGGTCGGGTAAGGGAAATAAAAGTACTACCGAAGCGACCATTGGTTCTGTTCCCAAATTAAGACTTTTGTTTCTGCTTTCATATAGAACATCTTTTCTCCTACTTGGCATGATTGCCAAGCCACTTGTCATGACAGTTCTTATGCATACTTTCTAGAAGATATGCTATACTGCTACACAATGTTCAAGTTTTGTTTGTTTTTACTAATTTATGTTGCAGATAGGTCAGGGAGATGATCTATATGTCTAAGTGCTTGTTAATTAACAAGGAATATAGAGGTTTTGTGCTCTAACAGGCAAAGGGCAACATATGCTGGATAGGGTGGTGAGTTCTATAAAAAAGGCCTGTAGATTTTCTTTTTATAATGTAATCAACACAGATGAGAACAGTATACAATCTGTAGATCCTCTCTCAATAAAAATTCTTCTTGGCAAACACACTTACATTCACATGCAGTAGTATGTATAGGTTCCGGTAGCTTACAGATGCCCCAAGTTCTTCCAAGATTAATGACTTCATCTCTATGGACTGCATGTGGGTATTTATTTAAACATATTTTTGTGCCATATATGGTATGAGCATTGTTCATGTGTCATTGTGACATGACAATGGCACTATCCATATTGGGCACAGAATGTATTCAGCACATGGCTATATGATGGAGAACTGGTTTACAATGCCATAAAGCAATCTCACTGTCACTGGTTACCAGTAACCCCACATGGACTCTTAGATTTTGTCTTCTGTTTATTGTCTAAGAGCAGATAAGTAAAGGGAGAAAAGAAGGTGGAAATAAATACGTAAATAGCTAGGTTCTTATGAAGTTAAAGCTTGCAAACTATTCAAAATGTCTACTTATGTGTACTGTAATTGAAGCTAATACTGTCAAATTTACTCTGAAAAACCTGGCTTGCTTGGCTTGTGTCTTTGAGGAAAGGTATTGTGCATGTGGAGGTTCAGACTTTCCTGGCATCAGTACAGCAGAGCTTTGCTGCACACGCCTAGAGATGACTGCTCAGCCCTTCCTTCGACTAGTCCACATGACACAACAGTGCTGCAATTAGAGGGTTCTTTATTGAGTACCTATTGTCTTCAAGGTGCTCGTCCACAGGGAAGGCATCATTTTAGGAGTCTCTGGTCTTGAGCTTCTCCATTTAGTTTGATTACAAAAATGTCTGGCCAGTGCTCTGTGGCTGCCAAAGTGAGTTCTAGTAACTGCAGATTAGTGTTTTCAATGTGACTTGAGTTAACCTGGATTATCACCCATGAAATTACTCTTTAAGTTGCTTTGGTTTAAGGGAAAGACAGACAGATCCAGAGAAGATGGTGAATGAGACAGCTTGGGTCCTGGGCTGTGAACTGTTTTCACATGAACAAACTGATTCCTAGGATGATCCTACTGAATGGAGGGCTCACACAGACAGAGACTGGAAGTTTTATAATATATAAAACTGTCTTAATATATGCGTTAATGAGTTCACTAGGTCTGACCCTGCCCTGGCTAAGCAGGAGAGGCATGGATCTTCAAGATAACATTATGGCCACAATAATAAAGCCATTGCTCAAAGTCTCAGAGATGTTAGCATTTTTAAGAAAGTTTACATTGTATAATATTTTTATTTTTTTAAAGATGTTTATGGTGTGTGTGCACATTTGTTTTGTGT